GGAAGCAAAGAAGGTAAAGAAATCTTATTCTACCGTGGGTTTAAGTTTTTTATCAATAATTGAAGGAGAAAAGTCAAATATCTTTATGATTAGCATTTTGTGGTTAGATAACTGCGGTGGCTACACTTCAGCAGAAGACATTAATGTGCAGAAAATTAGAAATACTATAAGTAGAAGAGCTGGAGGAGAATTTTGGTTGGATGGCTAGTTTATCAACCACTATTCCAAAGTTACATTATAAACAACCATACGAGAACAATATAAACAAAGAGAAGGTCCATACTTCTAGCGTTAATGCAATGCTCATACTACATGGTGAGAGTTGCTCGTTTTGCGAATTCAATTGTATGATCAAAAATACTTGTTTTTTCATTGTTGAGAGTGGAAAAAGAAGATCAACGAGGCTTTGCTTCTTATCCTACGTCTTGTTTATCTAGTCTTTCTTGTCCACACATAATGCTCTTTTGACTTTGAATGAGAGGTTTGGTACATTAGAAGGGGATGTACAGCAGTTTTTGTTCAATTAATGTAATAAAATTCAAATGTTTGCAAAAGCTAGCCATATGAAATGTCACGTGATAGGGAGATTTTTAAAAAAATTAAATGTCCAGAAGATACAGACTGAAAGCTAAACAAGAGGGTTATAGTGATTATAACATAACTTTTTACTATATTTCTTTTTCGTTTATATTTTATAAAAATTCAGTTATTCAAAACATTCAAAACAAATTTTTACGGTAAATCTGCTGAACTGTTCGCAGACTGAGAATTTATACAGTGAATGCAAGAACGCCGCTGACGAAAAAGTGGAAGAGGCGGACGACTTGATGTAGGTGTAACCTTCGACAAATGATCTCATCGATCACTTGCTAAGAAAACATGTCCTGAGCGCAACGATTGCTCATGTAGGCTATTTTATGATTCAATGAATTTCGTTTTAGGTTTGTTATTTCGGACAAAACGGGTTTTATGCATGATTGTGTGATGTAATAATGTCTGTAATATTTTCTTGTATGAGGAGTACAGCAACAAACGATAGTACCTGTACGGTGTATGTACAAATAGGAAACACTGTTATAAAGCAAAACAATTTTCCTACTAGTCAATTGGTTCCTCGTAGTTTTTGATGCAAAATTTTGATTTGTACTTACTTTCAGAGGTATTTCCACTTTTGTCATCAGGAACAAGTGAATGGTAAAACATTACTACACGCAAAAAAAACTAGTAAAATT